CCCCCTGTTCTCCCTTTCCGTTAAATTATTTCATATTTGTTTTTCTCAGTTGCATCCGTTTTCTTTTTTCGTTCCATAAAATCATGCTTTATTCTTATCTCCTCAGTTGTCATTATTTTTGTGAAGATGTGATTCAAGACTAATTTCAAAAAACTTGTTTTGAAGACCTTAGATTGTTTCAGAAGATATAGTCTTTTTANAATTTTTTTAGATAGACGATATTGTTTCGATGCTTACCGCTATTAAATATATTTCTATTAATACTGTTTAGATGAAAAGAAAAAAAATTTAAATAAATTCAAATATTTTGACATTTTCTAAATGTCATCAAATAATTTTAAATTATATCCCTTTTCTTTCATTCTTTCATACATTTGTAAAAAAAAAAAAAAAAAAAGTAAATAATGCATAATTCATTTTACCTTTACCTTATCATATCGAATCATTGATTAGATGATACCCACAATGCATCCTGATACTTTGCTGATCATATAAATTTTGGCATATTTACAATTTCACTTCCATAACATTTTACCTTTTAATTATTCATAGATAAAAATAATTTTTATCATTTCATCAATATAAATCCAATTACTATGATAATTCTCGATTACAAAATGAATCATTGGATGAACTTATCATATCTAATCATTGATCAGATGATACCACAATGCATTCTAATACTTTGCTGATCATATAAATTTTGACATATTTATAATTTCATTCCCATTACTGTTGCATTTTTAGTACATTCTAAAATTGATAACGACGATGATTTCGGTGATAATAAATTTTTTTCCTTTTTGCAAACTTTAACATGCTATAAATTTGATAGGTGAATTAGTTCGTTTTATTAATTTAAACTTTTATTTTTTCGACTCTCAACCTTCTTCCTTTATAGCTGTATATTTGATAGGATTGATTCGTTTGAGAATTTGTGACATCACTGATCGTGTTATTTTCAAAATCAAACCAGTCCAAATTATATTGATGATAATCCATTATGATCGACAGTAAACCTCTTAGTCCCAAGTGTGAATTATTCAAAGTAACGACATTTCCATTTCCAATTTATCAGTAATGATTTCCCATAAAGATATCGATTTTGACTTTATTGGTCTTATTCATGAAGAAAATCAAATAATATGGATGTAAGGGATAAGCACCATCGAAAGCCTTCATAATTTATCATTTTATTAATTCTCGAGGGAAAATACCAATGGATCAAAATGTTCGAAAGTATCGTTACTAATTAGTTATGTTTGATGAATCATAGAAAAAAGTAACGTAAAGCAAAAGTACAGAAGTATCACGTGACGCTGATCGTCTTCATTTGAATCTTCCTTTTCATAAATCATTGAGAAACTCCGATGTCAACAAACTATCTTTCGTACTTTTTTTTTTTTAATGCTACATTTAACATTACATTTCGGAATGAGAATCATTTTATAGAAACCAATGAATTACAGCAGGTAGCCATCATTTTTCCGGTACACTTCACGACCTTTCACTAGTATACGTTCCGGTTTAAGGATATGCTTTTCATTTGATTTACCATCTTTATTCTTTACTCGTAAGTTTATATTCAGTTGAATCTGAAAAATAATTTAAAATGTCAGCAACAATTTCCAAATCGAACTATTCCTTTTTCCACTTCGTTTTCCTCTTTTTTCTGCTATCATATTCATATAACTCATCATTTTATCCATACAGCAATAAATCATTTACTGGCAAGTTCCTGGTTGAAACAAATCATGAAATTTGCAATTAATTAAATTTTATGAAACCTATTAGTTTGCTATAACAATTTATAAACCAAACTTACTGTAAGATTTTCCTCATCTTTTGACTGGATCATTATGGAAGTTCCTTTTGTCCGGCTAGCCTGAATTCTTTTCAGTAAAAATATTTCAGTTGCCTGCTTAAGATGAATATTCCAAATACTCAAATTATCAATTATCAGTGGCAAACATCTGTCACTTATTGAGACCTTATATGTCATTCGCAATTATTTCTGCACTTCGGGTTGATAAGATTACTAAATTGATCTCAAAACTTTCACTGTTATTGGAGAGGAGAAGGCAGTTCAGACAAGAATTTAAAATATTATTAAATTTCATTGTTGAGCACGACTCATTCATCTACTGAATAAAATATGTTGGAATTTGAACAGATCGTTGACAATACCTTAGATTTTTCTTTAGTCAAGGTACTGGAAACTGATGACATTTTTTTCGTTCTGAAATCAAAAAGTTGAACCAACAATTCGGGAAGGATGTTAAATTAACTTTACATCATATAGTAAAATAAATTTGAATTATTGATTATTTTTCATCAAATTTTAGATTTAAAATTGAATGCAGTTGTAAGATTATGACAGTTACTTTGTGCTGCATAACTTACATGTTTGGCTTCGATGTTAATGCCTGTCGCATCACTGGTACATTTGAACTAGATGATTTCGACATATCAGAAGATATGGGAATGACGATAGTTGTATCTGAAATCAAAAATAATTTAAGACGTAGTGCTACAACAAATGAATTTCTTTACATTGCATATAGCCCAGTTGGATATTAAAATTAAAATTCTATTTCTGATATAGAATAGTCGAACAGTGCACAAAAATCAATACTTTTCATTTGAGGTTCCAATTCTGATTGATCTATGTACATAGACTTTTCAAACCCTGAAATTTATTCCTTTAATCAAAAAAAAAGATGATTTTATCAAATGAAATTTTGAAAATTTTGGATTTCTTACATTTTGATGGTGCTCGTTCAGCAGAGCTTTTAGTGTCATCCGATTCCTGTGTCAGGGTCACTAATGATGGTGCCCTAAAAGATAACTGAAGAGAGGATTATTATTTTTTATTAAAATCATTAAAGTGATTTAAAAAAGTTTTAAATCTGTACTATGCCGACAAACATCTGAGCAAGTACAATTGAGAATTACATTGATATATTACAGGTCTAGATATGGATATATGAATGAAGCACTAAAATATGCGTTACTGTTTATTTTCTTTCTCGTATTTACAGACTAAACATGAAGTACAGACTTTTTTTTTTCTTTTTTAATTTTTATAGAAATGAACCGTTTTATCCGAGTTTGTTTGGTAGAGGCACCAAGTGATTTTCTTTGACCTGAAATAAAAAGAAAAAACTGTAATTTAAATTGTTAACGTAATGATTGAAATTACTCGTTGAATTAAGATTTCAAAAAAAAAAAAAATTTGGAATGATCTAGATTGTAGATATAAATACTAGAAAAGTTAAAAAAAATCTGCCATAGAAATTTCGAAATTTCTAAAGCAAATTCTATAAAAAAAAAATTATAAACAAATTTTCATTATTTTGTCATGCCACAGCTAACAATGAACTAAAACATAACTGAAAAAAAAACCAAGTTATAATTTATATTTTAGTAGACTAAAACCAAGTTATAATTTATATTTTAGTAGACTAATTACTAAAGAACTAGCTAGGTGTGACGTATGTCCTCCATGAAAATATCATATCATATCACAAGTAAATCACTCCAAGCAATAATAGTTACTAATGTTTAAATTATTTAATTCAATCTATTGTCAATATGAATGGGATATTGATGAAGAAATTAGTATTCAAGAATTTGAAAAAAAAGCAATATTCTCTATTCATACCAGATTTCACTGATCGGGCTTGGATCGGGAATCTCTCGAAACGTGATCGAATTACTTCCGATGTTTTCTTAGATGCTAAGCTTACTTTTTTATCATTCTCAAATAATGCTTTTCTCTGCAAAATCAATAAGCAAAAAACTTTGCAATCATATTCCTATACATCCTAAATTTACATTAAACATTCACATATAATGTAACTTCATAAACCTAATTTAAGTCATTTAATGAACATGTAAGCAAGTCTTTTATGCCACTAATCCTTTATCAACTCTTTTCATATTCTCTCCTTGTCTTTTTCCATCCTTTTTATCTCCTATTTTCTATCCTTTACTTTAATTCTTCTCTTTTCAAAAATTAACCAAAAAGGAATCAAAACTTCTTGTGCGAAATATTCTATATGTAAATTTCTACTTGTTTAAATTACTGAACTCATCAAGTCTTTAATATTAATTCATCGATCAATATTTGAACATAATTTTTTCCAATGGTATGTATAAATTGTTGCACTTCGATGAAGGTAATAGAAGTAAAATTTTGATGAAAATAACGAAATGAAAGTTATAAAGAAATGATAAAAAGTACTTCTAACATGGTGGATGATTGTGAAATGATATTTTCTTCACTGCGACTTGATGAGGATTGTTTGGGTGTTGATATGATACTAGGTGTAGGAGGTAGAAGTCCGAATTTTCGTTTCTGTGGCAATGCATGACCTTTTCCGGAAATGATGGAGAAGCTCTTCTTTCCTGGTTCTAACAGTACATCTACCGAGCGAAACTTCAGATTCTTCAGTTCCTTTTCGCTCATGGAAGGACTGCGTTGTAGCTGTTGTATATCCGAAAGCACTTTTCGTGATGGAATTTCCGCCGAATGGGTTTCAAGGAATTTTCCAGGAATTTCAGCAAAACGTCGTTGTCTACCTTTCTTTGAACTTTCGCTATAGTTCAAAGTTTCTGAAGATAATTCATGGGCTGTTAATACTTGTTCATCATCTTTACGAAAATGTGAACTCATTGTTTTTGCTGTTTGATTCGAAATACTACGAGCAGTTGGAGCGTTGAATGATTTCTCTTTGTTACTGTCATCCATAGTACCGAGAAGTTGCAACGAATCATTGTATTTGAAAGTTTGATCTTGGCATATAGAACGAGTTGATGGCATTTTCCGTTTACTTCTTGAAATGATTCTAAAAATTCAACAATAGGGATGTTTGAGAATTGTTGTAATTTTTTTTTTTTTTTTAAGTATATTTTAACAGAATTCGAGAACACATTTATTGCATCATATCTATCAGCCGATAAATTAGAGCTTCTGAAACTACAAACAAACAATAAGATACTGATGGATGCTATTATTCAAAAGAACTGATAAGCCTTTGCACAAAATCCTAAATGTTTAATAATTCATTGAATGTAAAGTTTCCTAAACTGGGATTTCTAAGTGAAATGAGGTATTTATAGTATTTCAATGAACATCTAAATATTCCAGTTTAAGGGAAGATACTACACGTACTTCCTTTCGTCCATTGAAGAATCGCTTTTACGTATGTAAGTGGAACTGGAAGATCCTATAATGTATGAAAGATTAGATAGAATGAGTTTAATTCTGACAAAAACTTTTTAATCATAAGTTTTATACATTTCTTGAATTAAAATGATTAGATGAATGAAAAATATTTCATGTATATTGCTTATCATCAAATAAGTAAGATTACATATCACTGTTAAGTAATTCTTTATGTTTATTTCTCAACGATTAATTAACATAAAATTATCCATAATTACGGTATTATTGCTTTTTATAAAAATTATGAAGATAACGGAACCTTCGGGAAGTCCTGCAGTAAGTATATTTCCCTTTTCAGAACTACCATGAACAAATTTGTGCTTCGTCTTTTGTTTTGATGAATATTGTGGTGTTATGGGATATACTGGTGATGAATAAATGGGACGAAATTGGGTAGATGAACGAGCTTTCTTCATCATAGGACGACTGGATGAACGGTAATAAATTTGCTGAATTTTTGGTTCTGAATCTATCACTTTATTCGGTAGTGGTTTCTTTTTTTTTAGAAAAAAAACGGATTCATTTGATCGTTTCCGTTCATCCTCTGCTGATCGAGCTGTTAAAAATTTAGCGCTCCGGATAGCTTCCCTTTTTGACTTATTTGCTAAAAGAAGATTCAGGGAATTTTTATATTGCTTTTCGAAAAAAACAAAAAAAGTCTAACAAAATTCTCAATCTTATGATAAAATAACTGACGGTATATTGTATTTGTCTTCGATCGTATCACTCGGAGTTATATCAGTCCTCTATTCCCAACAAGATTACGGTAACTTCAGCAATCTTATGAATAATATTTTTCAAAATGGAAGGAAATATGAGGATATCTTTATCATTTTACCCATTATTTTCTTCACTAATGTTATTAATTAAATGATTATTGCTGAAATTTCAACAACTGTGTTAACTTGCCTCGTTCCGGAATTTTCATATTTTCAGTGCTAACTGATTGTCCAGTGTGTAGCGTATCAGAATGAGCTTCTAAAAATTCAAATTAATGTAACGGAAATGATTTCTAAACTGAAATCTATGAATGGAAAAAAAAATTAGATAAGCTAACGTAAAGCATAATCATTAGCTTCGACATTTTTCGATCTTGAAATACCATATAATGGACGAGAGGTGTGTAATTCAGCACTCATGAAAGCATCGGTAGGTGATTTACCAACTGAAATTATTACTTTATAGCTGTATCATTTTGTCTTTCTAGTTATTTCTGATTAACTGATTACTTCCTTCATACTCAATGTTGGTGCAAAAAAAGAGTGAGATATTCGAAAGGTGTAATTTGAAAGTAAAAAAAGCAAAGGAGGAAAAATTCAATTGTTATATGAAAAATTATCAAAGAAATTATCTGTGGGAAAGATGATGAATATTTTTAAATTGTATCCTTACCTTCTGGACTCATTTAAAAGAAACCAAAGCTTGTAAACTTGAAATTTATTCTAATTAAATTGTTGAATTGATAAGAAATACAAAGTGTGTTTAAATAAAAATGCCATTAAGTCAATGATTAGTTTGTTTGCGTCTTTTAGCGTACGAATCCAACTTTAAGAAATAGTATGCTAACCTTTCAGCTTACGATGCTCCATTCTCTTTGCAATTTTGCTGGCTTTAGATCTATCAAATTTTCAATTTTAACAGATTTTTAATTACTGATATTTTCTATGCCTAATACAATCAACTAATATGTTCATTTTCTCCATTCTTCTAATGAAACATATCGCACTACGTATGACACTATCCGATATTCAACATCATATGATTTTAATTCAGCATATTTGGACTGCCTAATTTAACCTCTAATTAATATCTGTATTAATTGTTCTACTTTAACTGGCATGCAATTTGAAATTCCTTCATACATCAAATGAAAATTCCGGAAATTTCATCGTTTTCAAGAAGCAATTACGGAAAACTATGGAAAGTATAATCATTTAGAGATTAAATTATACCCATTATTCAAAACCGGACGTCGAATAATCTGGAATTTGTCAAATGTTTTTACAATGCCACGACCTGAAAAAGCATATGATTGAATTAACGAATTACTTTTTAGCAGTAAGATACAAACATTACCTTTTAATAGTAGCAGTTAAATAAGATATTATTTAATGATGTACACTTCAATCTTTCATTATTGGTGAACCGCTTTGATTCGATTCAAATGATCTTCGTGATTGACACGTCCGAGTTGTTTGTTTTTTGGGAGCTTTTTTAACTTCCGAATAAAATTATAATTACCTTCATTAATTATCTCGGAGGAACTGAGAGCTGTTCTTAAACTTTCTTCTCTTTTGTCACTTTGATCTCTTTTAGAAATCGATTCGACTGGGTAAAGGAATCCCTGTTCAGCTGAACTGCTACTCGATATCGTAAAATCTGTCCTAATAGGTGGCTCTTGTAGCACCAACATTTTTGGCTTTCCTAGGACATTTGAAGCTCTAAAATTTTTACCCACAATTATTGATAAAATAACCAATGTACCAGTATCTATTCTGTAGGCCGATGAGAAGATCATCCGAAGAATTATTTTATTTTACTTTGCTCAAAAAGTTCATATAGCAATAATAGACTTAGCACTCTTTAGTTCAAGCTTTTCATCATTTCCCAACTTGATTTTTCATCAGCCTAATTAGTACCTTTCTTCAGAGTTGGTAAATGAGAATCAAGAAGAGAGAAAAAAAAATGATAATACTGGTCAAGCTTTAAATTGCAAATATGAAAGATTGCATTTAATGGTCTAATCACTTAAACGACAAATAATATAAACAAACATTGATGTCATCAATGCACTCACTTATAGGAGTTATTTTACATTGAAATTCAAATTTTGCATTTAATTTATAAAAATTATTGAAAATGGACACTCAATTATATGAGCTTTATTACACCAAAGCTCATATTTTTACATTCAATTTATAAAAATTATTGAAAATGTTGGCTTTTTTCTTTCCGTTAATAATTTTAAAATATCCGGAAAACCAGTACTAACACGGATTCGCTGATACTGCTCGGAGTACAAATAGTTTTGTCGGTGATATAATTCCGTTCCTCGCTTAATGAAAAATCATGTAGCTATAAAATATATTAATTGTTACAACAATTTACATTATGAGAAATAATTGTGTTTGTTTTCAATAATTCAAATCAATCAAAACTTGATCGAGCAACGATGTAATGATACTAGAAACTTTGATAATGAAATTATCAATTACAAATTAAATAGCTTCTATAAAGTAAAAGAAAAAAAAGGCTAAAATATATCGTTCTATCAAACATAATCCAATTAATTGGGGACATGTTGTATGCTTAATAATCCAGGTAAGATATAATCATTGGTGATGAAAGCTATGTTATAGTTGTATTGCATAATAATTCATACCTGCTTCTTGAAGGAAGGTTTAATTTCAATTAAACGTTTGATAAGCATCACATTACAGCCTACAAGGATGTCTTCGTGATATCTGACTGGTATTTGCTCCTTCTGATTCTTCGGTAACACTGATACATTCCGAAGAAATGGTATAACCGCCTGCAAAAACTTCCATTGAATTGGTAAATAAAACATCAATATACAATCAAAGTAAGAAGAAAAATGAGTTTAAATTTAAATTATATCTGAGGAGTTAATCGTAAATCGAAATAATCCAGAAACAAGTCTGGCACAAATCTAGATAAATCATTGGATGAAGTTTAAAGTAAATCTTAGCATAAGCTAAGCTTCCATTTCCTATAAGCTATTAAATCTTCACGATCAGTAAGTTCAATTGAGCTTATAATCCGATAAAATGCTCGAAATTTCAAGATTTCAGTTCTCGTCTCTTGCATCAACAAACTCCACCGTTCAATTATCCCACTACCAAATGATGAGAAAGAGGATATATTGTCAACAGAAAATGTTTGATTTGAACATTTCATAAATGAAACATTGAAATAATTCACTCTCAATTATTTTTTTAAAATTTCAAAATAATTTAAAAAAGAAAAGGTAACGAACAATTTCAGGTTTTGCCGTACTTCCATCGGCACGGAGCTCAATCTCTTCGTAAATTTTGTAACTACCGCTAGTATCATGCACTGTATTTTGGAATGCTGTAATTACCAATGATCCGATCAAATTGAAGACAGGTGCTCTAAGAAAGCTAGCTTCCGATTTTGACTTTCGCCTTGGTTTAATTTCTTCTGAAAAAGATATTTCATTCCATTTTTTCCGCTTTTCATGTCATACAATAGAAAGGTTCAATTATTTGTCTAATTTGTAAGTGCTTCAAGACCGTTTGATATAACATTAACTATAGGTTCAAATTGGGAACGGATTTTGCTTAACCAATCAGAAGTAAGGTACAAGTCGGAAACGTACCTTGCTTAACCTATCGGAAGAAGTTTGAAAAACTAGTCGTTGAATAGTTATATTCATTTAGCTGTTGAACAAATATTAAATAAAAATTCTGTTTTCTTTTCACATTGGTATAGTTAAAAATAACTGATAAAATAAGAAATTAAGAACAAACGATTTTCTTGGTCCAATTCAACGCCACCAAATTTCACTACTTCTTTGGTATTTACAGCAGGTAATTTGATTTTCGATCGATCTATTTCGATTTTTCGATCAATTCTTACATAATCACTGCCAACTCGAACGGCCTGTACCGTTATTGGGATACTTTTTGTAGTCTAGAAGAAGTCTGAGAAATTTACGGATATTTGTTTAGGCAAATTTCAAAAGTAATATAAATTAAAAACAAATGTCAAACATCCTGCAATTAAATCACTTATCTTTTTAAAATCAACAATATAATCAGGAGTTTATCCGAAATAGATTACGATAAATCTTAATCTAAATCCTTCCAAAGAAAAGAAAAAAGAAACGCCAAATCATTTGAGACTTTTTTCCATAGCTTGATCACAATTATAGTCAATCTAATTATATATAATTTCACTGTTACATTCAGCATTCGGTTATGGTACATAAGAAGTGTCTAAGATAGCACAATATTTACTGAAGGAAGAGACTTTAGGATTTTAGGCTTTATACTAATCAATTCTTTGCTCGGATATTTTACGCCTGAACTATACAGCTCTAATATTTCATCAATAAACAATTTATCCATTGGTCGTCCATCAATTTTTTGTATTGTTTGAACTCTTACTGGGCCTAAAATTGTTGCGATTCAATCAATCATTCTATTAATGGACATATTCTATTAATTAAATCACTACTGTTTTGCCTAAATTAGGCATTTAACCAGTCTGGAACTAGCACGATTGGAAATGCAAAATGGAAAGATTTTTAAAAAAACGATCAGAAATTATCTTCCCAGATTTTATAATTTATTGCTTTGAATAAATTAATAAGGAATTTAGTGAAAACTTTTCAAAAATATTAATAAAATAATTTTACCAACGATGAAAACATAAGGTGCGGCAATGGATGATGAACTTGTCTGTGGTTTGATATTTCGCGAACTCTACAAATAATTATTATTATATCAATTATTAGGCTTATCATATTTTTCACCTCATCATATTCGTGCATTCCACAACTAACAATGCTATCATTATATCAGTCATTATCTTATCACATACCGTATACTCCTTTTTAAGAAATGAAATTTAAAAATAATTATATTTACTAAATTCTATGATATAACTTTCATGCATACACTAATAATTATTTCTTATATTAATTATTGCTAATGATTAAGAATGGATGAAATGCACACACTTTTAAGCCCTTCTCTGAATGCCGCATAAATTGCTGATTGGTTTGCATCATTGAATCTAAAATCGTTTAAAAATTTTTAGGCATTTGTATGAATTGAAATAGATGATAAGCTTTAAGTATGAATGATATCACTGATAATTGAGAGAGTTAGGAGAAAATTAAAGAAAATTTTAAACGAATTTCTTTTTTAAAAGTGATTCAAAGAGCTACTTTAAAAAAAAAAAAAAAGATAGACATTTGGTTGAAATAAAAAAAATGCTGAAAAGAAAAAAAAAAAAAGGCTGAAAAATTGCTAGAAAATTCTCTTACCAGCACTAAAACTGCGAATGATCGAAGCAGCAGCTTTTCTTTGAAACTTTTGCGCTATTGGTGTAATTGATTCAATATTGAATCTGAAAGAAGAAAATTTTAGGAAAAAAAATATTTTGCTTTTTTTTTTTCTTAAAAAATTTGCAAACTTCAATTTTAAATTTAACAATGGAAAACTAAAACAGAATTCTTAATTAATATATTGTGAAGAATTCTCCGAATTATACAATTGCTCGATTATTTGATGTAAAAGATTAGATAATATTGATATTATCATAATACGATTGATATATTTGAACTTTTAATTTAGCAATTTAAATTATTTAAATGAATTAACGTTCAGCTAATTTGTTGTAAATTCCAAAATGCATTCGTTTTTGTTTGCATAAAAATTTGATAAGGATATATATATATATATATTTATATATATTTATATCAAATCTAATAATTACAGATATTTTATTTTGATAACCTTTTTAGATAAATTTCCCATTATCATTTAATAAACATTAATATTATTCATACATTTTAATAATTTTCAAACGAAAAAAGAGAAAATTCGAACATACCTTTGGATAGTATCATTTGGATATTTAAAAACAGTTAAATTATGCGGATTGTTCATCAATAATCTTAACATTCCTTCTATATTATCCATTGAATTATCCACCTGAATTACTTTTTTTTTTTTTAAGTTAACATTTCTAATTCAGTTAATATTAATTTAAAAAATGAAAAAAAAAATTCAAATGTCGTTTGGAAGAATGAAATTGTCCTTTTGTCCTTTTATTGAATTATTTACATTAATCTTTTTGTTATTACTGAAAGCATGTATGAATGTATGTGTGTGCGTGTGCGTGTGTGTGTGTGTGTGTGTGTGTGTGTGTGTGTGTGTGTGT